TACTACTACTACTACTACTACTACTACTACTACTACTACTACGGGGTTTATCTGTGTCCTCAGGGTCATCTGAGTGGTGCAAATGGGTGTGGAGCCTTCTTGGAATTGTTGAAAGGACTGAGTTGTAGACTGGAGATAGATGATGTCGTACCCCACCCCACCCCGGTTGAGAGAGGACTGTTCAATTTTGACACAGAGGGCCTCTTTGACCCCTCTTTCAAGCCAGCGGTCCTCTCTGTCCAAAATGTGGACTTTGCTGTCTTCGAAAGAGCGGCCTTTGTCTTTTAAGTGCAGATGCCTTGTGAAAAAGATAAGTGGATGACTGAGAATCTCCACAGACATTTAGCTGTGACCCCAATCATTGTTCTCTCAGATAAATTTTTAATCATTTTTTAAAGGAGTCACCAAGCACACTCACACCAACAGTGTCAGGGCAAGCCACTAGTGTAAAACCTGAGGGCAGACCCCATTCTGTTACAGCGCTGATGATGTTACTAAATTGGGTGATAAGATGTCTGCGAGGCAACAACCAAGCTCAGAGAGCGCCAAGGACCCCATAAAAATGATATTTACAAGAATTTACAAGTTTCAACCCACTATATTTCAGTCCATGGCTATTAGATCATTTGAATAGCCAGCATCTTTTAAGAGACATTTCAACTACTTTCAAATTCGAGTTTTCTGTTCATCAGATATTCTGCCTCCATGGCTCAGTTAAGCACGTTGTGTGAACAGGACTATAGCATAGCCCAGGGGTAGGCAACCATGGCTCTTTTATGACTGGTGGACTTCAACTCCCAGAATTCCTGAGCCAACGTGGCTCAGCTTGGAAACCTCTCCCTGTCTCCTCAGCATGGCTGGCTCAGGAATTCTGGGAGTTGAAGTCCACGAGTCATAAAAGAGCCAAGGCTGCCTACCCCTGGCATAGCCAATCCTGATTTCAAATCTTTTCCTAACTTTTACCAGCTCTTTTTAAGTAAGTTTCAGCCACCTTTTTCTCTCTCCAGCTGCTAGCCAGGTTGTTGTGAAGGTAACGAAGGATAAGCCTGGGTATGTTGTTGCTATGGGTTTCTGAGAACTGATAAATCAGAAAATAAAATGTGATTTTAAATTTCTTTCTAGGAATTACAGTCAAGATAAATCAGGCACAAAACAAAGGCTTTTCAGAATGCTCTTCTTCCTGCTATGCACCAAACTCTTGAGTGGTTTTGAATCGTACAGTTAAAAAAATAAAATAAACCAGGTCCTTAAAAGGGACCATGCCTAACACTTTCGATCTGCCTTTCTCAACTACGGCGCCCTCAAAAGCTTCAGAAACATTTCTCTGAAAACAGCTGACCTAGAAACACGTGGACAAGATTTGGGGCCGAAAGATAAAAAAAAGTTCTTCATCCTAAAGATATATTTATAATTTAGAATATAGCTAGTTGATCTTGGCCATCACAATTCTTAAGCCTTAATTGCGCTTTCTGTGACTGTGTGGATAAATTATGGGGAGGGTGGGGGGGGCTGCAATCTTGTGCACCTTAGAAAGGCCAAGGTATTTAAATGTAGTATATGTATGTAATATATACACATGTGCCATCTGCATCCTAAAAAGACAGCAGGGCAGTGGCGGTTTTTTGTGGAAGGTTCCGGAAGTGGGAGGTCACCACCAAGAAGGCCCTGCCTGGTGGAAACAGCTATGAAGGCGGACCTGCTTTCCTGAGTGAGCAGCAGAAAACCTATCTGTTTCTATCAGAGGTTTTCCACCTTGGCAACTTTAAGATACGTGGACTTCAACTCCCAGCATGCTGGCTGGGGAATTCTGGGAGGTGAAGTCCAGAGTCTTAAAACTGCCAAGGTTGAAACAATGAAGAGACCCCCTTGCCCCACCTAATTCTTTACAACTGAATGTGGCCGGTTATGCCCCAGAAGGGCCTTTCCCATTCTGGTGATCTGCAGATGTGGGAGTTGAAGTCCCAAACATCTGGAGGACAGCAGCTGGGGCAAGGTGGCCAGAGGTGGTGGGGGGGTGTCTCCTGGCTCTCATTGGACTGACCTGTTTAAATCCTGCTTTGCCTTCCGGTTTTTCATTAATCCCGGGTGCTGCTCTAAATGCTTCTAATTATTTTTGTATCTCAGAAAGAGAAATATTTTGGACCGCAGAGTAAATAAAATTACGTTCTCTACATAGTGGCCAATGTTGTGTTTTTCTTGTGTGTGTGTGTATACCTTGCCACAAGGTGGCTTTCTAGCGTTAACTAAATGGAATCGTCCTGAATCGTCTTTCTAATCCAGTGCGATGTGAGTTAGGTTGGATTTCCAGTCTCATAATCTCTCGCTGGCTGGATTTGAGGGGAGTTGGGAACCAGCAACTCTGCAGCCCCCAGACAGGAAAGCTGTTCTGAAGGCATCTGAAGGTACATTTGATGGCTGGTGGAGATTCTAAAGAGTGCAAATACGCTTATTCCCTAAGGGGCCTGAAACAAAATTAAGTGTCACCAAGAGCTAAGGAAGAAGGAAAGGGCCCAGTGAGGGCCCTAGAAATAGTTTATAAGCTACTGGGTAAAAATTGTCCCCGAGTTAGAAGAAGCACAACAGTGGGCTCCAATATTTTTATCTGTTTGTGGGCAAAATCCAATCTTCTCATTACGGTGAGAGTCTGTACGTCCAAAGAGTGTGAGGACAAAGCATGGAGGACAACGATAGAGAGGTTTCCTGCCATTCTGAGATGGACAATAACTGAAAGTTATGTTGAAAGACAAATCTTCATCAGGGTCCAGTCCAAGCTGGGAATAAACAAGATGGAGACTGCTTTAGAAAGAAGGTTGCAGTTTACCGAAGAGGAGAGCCAGACAGAAAGATGGCTCTGGGAAAAACTGACCACATGTAGTAGGGAGTGGTGGGTTTTTATACCTTCTTGAGCTTTTGTTTGGACTTGTTCCTGTGGCATGAACTTTGACCTGAGTCTGAGTATGCCTTTCGGGTTTTCTGATGGTGGCGGGTTAATCCTATTGTCCCAAAGGTCATATATCCTGCTTCCCTGGGGCTGTGGCTGATGACTGTTGGATTTTTTTGGTGTGAGGGATTGTTGATTCTAGGGATCTTTATCTTTCTAATCCCAGCTTCTTGGCTCCAATCTTTCTGACAAGATTATCATATCTGCATTTCTGCGGACCTCGTTTCCGTTTGGGGCAGAAAGACTTGCGGGGGGGGGGGACTGGCTGGGTGAGGAATTCTGGGAGTTGAAGTCCACAAGTCTTAAAGTTGCCAAGTTTGAAGACCCCTGCACTAAACCAAAGATTGGGGGTGGGTGACATGGTGCTCTCCTCCTTCATCTCCTTTCTGCAGAGTCCAGTCAGTGGGGATTGGGAAAGAGAGATCTCTTTCCCAGCCCCTGCTGTGGGAGGTGCCTTGGGGAGCCAGTGCCTTCTGCTCCTATTCAGCATCTACATGAGGCTGCTGAGGTGAGTTCCTTCATGTGAATGCTCCTACACTGGAGGTTTTTAAGAAGAGACTGGACAGCCATTTGTCTGAAATATAGGGTTTCCTGCCTGAGCAGGGGGTTGGACTAGAAGACCTCCAAGGTCCCTTCCAACTCTGATTCTGTTCTGTTCTATTCTTCTAAGAGGTAATATACAGGTAGTTCCATATTCTATTCTTCTAAGAGGTATTATGCAGGTAGTTCTATATTCTATTCTATTCTATTCTATTAATCCTATTATTCTAAGAGGTATTATACAAGTAGTTCTATATTCTGTTCTGTTCTATTCTTCTAAGAGGTATACAGGTAGTTCCATATTCTATTCTTCTAAGAGGTATTATACAGGTAGTTCTATATTCTATTCTATTTTTCTTCTAAAAAGTATACAGGTAGTTCTATTCCTATTCTATTCTATTCATCGCCAGGGGGTGAGGAATCTTGCTGATGACACCTATACATCTCTACCCCTAAGGAATTAAGCCACTAATTCTGGGCTTTATTCACTAGGCTAGGGGTAGAGATGTACCCCTAGTGAATTAAGAAGTACCTCTCTCTACCCCTTAATTCATTAGGGGTACCCCTTAATTCACTAGAGGCACTTCAACTCCCAGAATACCCTGAAGAATTCTGGGGGCTTAAAGTCCACAAGTCTTAAAATTGCCAAGGTGGGAGACCCCTGAATTAAGCAATGCCACAACTGTTTTATCCCAAGCCTGGAAGCTACGAGAGTCTGGATGGGGCACAACATACCACAGCTGAGTCTTGACAAGACGAATGGGTTTTGAGTTTTGAGGCCCACAATTCTAGGGACTATTGCACCCTCAGTGGCGGGTGGGATTGTCCCGGATTGCAGGCTGACTCTACTTTCTAGATTACCAACAGCCACAGGAATTAAATCAGCTCCTGCAAAGAAATTGCACTAACAGCAATTCCCATGACAAAGAATCAGCCATCTCCAGAAGAAACGAAGTTGGGGAGATTGGCTCTCCATAACTGAAGATACAAAGGATGGCGATGTTGGACCACAAAAACTCAAAGAATCCATCCCATAATTACACAACCTCTTACTGACAAGCCAATATTCCCATTCTCCTCGTTCTCTTCTTTGACCTCATGGTCTGACCGTCCTGTTTCAACCTCCACTGGAGACCCAACAGGCAGCTTTCATCTTTCCCTCTCCAGGTGACCCCGGTGGCACCTGGAATCATCATCATCATCATCATCATCATCATCATCATCATCATCTATATAAATAAAAATGTAAATGTTCGTTTGTTCAAAATCTTAAATCTCCAAAAGTTCTTCACCGATTGCTTTGAAATTTTGACACAACGTTGCATTCGAATACGCGCGTTTTTATATACCTATATTATATAGATGCCACACCTGTGA